CAATTACAATATATATTTTTGAAAGCATTCTTACTTTGCAGCATTTTTTCACACCTGCCTAGAACTTTTGCACAGTACTGTACATACTGTATAAAATCTAGCCCACACACTGGGGTTAAGGGGAGGACACCAGGGAAGATAGGTGGTGGTAGCAATAACTATCAAGCAGTCTATATCAAGGGAGGAATTCTGGCCAGAGTGTGTAAACACAGGGGGCTTCTATAAGAAGTTTGGGACCTCCAGGTTTTCACCCTTTGGGCTCAGCTGTGCTGCTACAGCAGGCTTTCAGTGATTTTAATGCTTATTTATTGTTTTCTTGTATGTTTATTGTACAATAGTTATAATCCTGGTGGACTCTGGGTGGGATACAATGAAGTCAGAAACAAAAGTGAAAAACAAATGTACTTAAAACAATATCTGCACAAATTATCCAAACCATCGTCATGAAGATAGAAGGCAATTTGATTTTATGTGGGTTGTAGCATTATATATTGTTTTTGGGGGAAGATTGCCATCTGAGAGTCTCTGTTCACCACCCAGATTCACTTAAGTAGAGCAGTGTACAAATGCTGTTAAGAAATAAATACTAACCAATGAAATAAATTTGTCCTTTTTTATTTTCTGATCTTCATTAAGCTTTTCATTCAGCTACACTGGCTCCTTCTGCTGTCCAGGGGCATTCATAGCAATTTTCCTAAGGTACATGGAAAGAGTGAAAACAATGGCCATGATCTTTACCTAGGAAAATGTGCCTTTCTCCCAGCAAAGTAGCCACAGCCACCATTTTGCGCATGTCTGCCCTGCCATCTGCAGAGTCATCCTGCCCCAGCCTGCCTCCCTCCCTCCCTCCCTTGAGCAAGGTCAAGTGGAAGGTTGCCAGTGGAGAGTAGACTGGGAGGCATGTGGGCAGCAATTCCTAATCAGCACTTTTGTTACAGATAGGCTATAATTAGCGGCAATTAGTACAAGTTTTGCTTTATAGACAAGTTTCTATCACTATTGCTTTGCTGCTTGAACGGAAGTTCCGGGAATTTTTTTTTAAACTAACAGATTCCGGGGCCTGAAAAAGCTGAAACCCCTGATCTAGACAATGGGCTGCTAAGACACTATGGCTTTCTCCTTCCAAGGTTTAATTATCCTGACCCTGCCAAACATGATCTTTCCAGGAATTTCTTAACTTTTGAAGATAAGAATTGTCTCCTTCACAATAGAGGAAAACCTCTAACCCTAACCAACAGGAAATACTTAATTGAGAAAATGGAAGTACCTGAACATTGGAAGAAAATGACCCATAATGCTAGGGTTCTTGATTTTAAGGAAAACTAAATTTGACTATAATCAAACACACACTTTGGACTTCAAATAAGCAAACATTCATGTTCATGAACACAAAGCAATGACAAGTAGGATTCCATAAGGAGAGTTGCTAATGGGAAAGTAGCTCAAATAGGTGGGAGTTGTTCATAAAAATGGAGATACTGTAAGCAATTCCAATCAGACCAAAAAAAAAAAAAAGGAAGAGTGCGCTTGTGAAAGCCTCAGTTGACTAAAACCATGATAGATGGTAGAGGTCTATCTGTGAAGCTAAGAGAAAGGGAAGGATATAATGGCTCTGAATGAAGATTGTCTGATTTGTGGAGTGGAGTTCTTGAAGCTGCTTTGAACAGTGTGAGACGTATACAAGAGAATGTCACAAAAGGGTGTGGAGCTACACTAATGAACGTATGAAAAAAAGATGCTTAATGGAATAATGAAGTAAAACAGGCTGTGGATGAGAAAAGAATGCTGCAAAAAATGTAAAAGAATGCTGCAAAAATAAGAAGGCTATTATATAATGTACATAGAGAGAAAATTAAACTTGCAAAGAATGTAGTTAAAAAGTGCAAGGAGCTGTCAAGATTAAAAGAGACTGAAAAAATGCAGTATGCTTTTACTGGAAATGAAAGATCATTTTGGAAGTTAATGAAAGGGGCTTATGTGAAGGAATGGGACTGAAATGAATGCTATACAGGCTAATGTCAAAAAAAAAAAACTGATGAAAACCAAGTCATATGTGATTGAGAAAGTTGAAAAATGGTAAGGCTGCTAGTATAAATAATGTTCTTCAGACCTTGGGTGACTTTGCTGGATGTGGCTCTGTATGTTTTCTACTGAGTGAAGAGATCCCATCTTGTTTAGCTACTTTGTACTGTATTTTTATCTTTTTTTCCCCTATATTGTGAGCTGCCCAGAATCACTTTGCATTGGCCAGTGCCTAAATCAGATAAATGAAATCAATAAATAAGGATGTGGTTTGCTTCTGGAGTTGCTGCGCAACTTGTTATGTGTGAAGACTACATCTGTGTCTGACAGTTGGAACAATGCAGTTATTGTTCCCATATGCAAAGGAAAAAGTAGAAGAGTGTATGCAGAACTACAGGGGAATTAGTTGACCGAGTGTGGTAAAATTGTGATTGAAAGGCTATAAAAAGTAAGTATATGGAAAGTGCAGTTTAGCTTTTTACCATGTAGGGAGTATGCAGACAAGATGTTTGCTCATCAGCAGACCACTGAAAATGTATAAATGAGATTATAAATGAGTATGAATAATGATTTATAAATATCTATAAATGAGGGGAATAAACATTGCTTTGTTATAGAAAATTATATATTTTAAAGTAAAAATAATATTAGCATCTGCAATTATTTACATTACATATTGCATACCTTCATTTATAAACCATTTTAAAAAATAAGAAAAAATAAAGGAGGTTTATTGAACCTTTGTAGATTTAGCAAAAATACATGAGAAAGTAAATAGGCTTGAGTTATAGAATGTATGCACCAATGCAGAGGTAAAAGTTGGTTGCTGAATATGATAACATATGATGACAGTAAAGAAGGTATGAAAATAAATGGAATGCTTAACAGATGGTTCAGCATTTAGCAGAGTAAGATAAGGCCAGATAAAGATAAACTGGTTGTTTAACATGCTTACAGATAACTATATAAGTGTTTTTGGTAAACACTAAAGGACTGTTGCCTGGGGAAGTGAACGTACATGTATTTTTAATATCATGTTATTAGCTGAGAAACTGAATGGTTTGAAATGAATGGTTGGTCAATTATATGGTTAATTGAGGAGTATGAATCTGAACACTAAGATATCAAGGGCCAGGGTAATTGCATTCGACAGGGAAAAATGAAACAAATAATTGCAAGTTATACAGCAATGGCAAAAAAGTAGATGAATTTGTGTGCCTTTTTAACTGTTTACAAATGATGGAAAATGGAGACTTTTAAGGCATACAAATATTGGCAAAATGTAAGAAAAAGGTGAAAAGATTAAGAATGAAAAGCAATGTATAAAGTGGTGGAAACAAGGGTGGTTTGCAAGGATAAAACATTTGTCAAGGTTTAGGTGAAATATGTAGTGTAAACTAGTTTTTGTTATACTTCCTTTTCCTGTCTCGTACCTTGAATTTCTTTGGCATACTACTTCTTACTCCTTTTCTATGCTCTGCATAAAGGTCCTTACCCCAAAAGGCAGTAGCATAATCAGTATGTATGCATGCAATATTTTAAATTCATTTAATAATAGCATTATGATTATTACAGTAATAAAGGAGTTTACATCTCATGCCCTTTTGCTTAAACACATTTACTTGGGAATAAACATTGCTTTGTTGTAGAATATTACATATTAGGGAATAGGAACCAAGAAATTAGGGAACCAGGGAAGCCTGGGAGTTGTCCACACATCTTAAAGCTGCTGAGGTTCAGAAACATTGTTCTAGGGCACCCATGGCTGTTTGCGCTTGTAAAATTCTCAGATAAACAAATAACAAAATAAAATTATTTCCGATTGAGCCTCTTCTGACTGAGTTCTTTATCTTGGGGCTTCTCCTGAGTCTGTAACTCAAACCAAAAACTTTTCAGGTCCGGACAGAAAACAATCGGACATCCAGTCAATTGCAGAAAAAAAGAGGCCTTGCTTCTCTTTGCTGTCATCTAGAGATCACATATTTCCTACTCGGAACAGCAGAAACTTTAAAGAGAAGAACACGCCGTTGTCCAAGGCAATGAAGGAAAGCGGAGGAATCAGGCCCCCAAGTGAACTCGGAAGCACTCAAGGTGTGTTACTCTAATGGTAAATGTCTATAAGGCATTACACGATAGAGACATCGAAGGATAGAGCGTCGCATGTCCGGGCGGAAGAGCGGCACGTAGTCGCTTGAAGGAGGAAGGGTCGGATTGAGCGCGCTTCGGGGTCCTCCTTCCGCGGAGGCTTTGATTACCATGGCGGACGCTCAGCCTGTTTGCAGCTTCCTCTTCAAGAAGCGTCGCTCAGCGCCTGGGAGGGGTCAACGGAAGAGGCCGAGCAGCGACCAGGAGCCCGGTAAGAAGCGCAGCCCATCGCTGCCTTTCGGGCTCGAAATGTATTTGCGGCGGGATGGGGAGACGGCGGGGGGGCCGCGGAGAGCCTGGGGCCTGAAATCTCTTTCGAAAGCCCCTGATCCTGAACACACGGGGTAAGAGTTTATGTCGCTTGGGGGATAAGGGTCGCCGTGAGCCCCGCGTTACCTCGCTTTTCCATGACAACTCGGAGTGCGGGTCTCTTTCACGGAAAAGAAAGTGTGAAGAAGCAGCTTTTCCGGTGGATCAGGGCAAAGGTGTAGCTAGTCCCGCAACGTGTAAGCATGTAGTTTTCTTTCACCTGTGCCGTTGCGCTCTTATCGCTTGGTACTTAGGACGTGTTACAGTAGATTCCGAGTGTCGGAGGGGAATATTGTCAAGATTGGAAATCCCAAGCCTTATCAGTTACCTCGCTCCCTTTTAAAACTGGGTAAATTAGTAGCAGACGCCACAGTTTTAACTACACTATGCTCCATATGGAAAAATACATTTTATTGTTCTCAGTTGTCTTAAATTGCTCTAAAGAAAGTGAACAGCTGTTACTTGAAAGGGAGGTAGCCTTGGTTGTCTTGTGGGCAAAAGTATTGAAAAAACTTGCTTGGCTTTGTATTGTCGAAGGCTTTCACGGCCGGCATACAATGACTGGTGTGGGTCTTCCGGGCTGGTGTGGGTCTTCCGGGC